AGCATGCAGCTTGGTTTTCGCTGGCTGAGTGCTGTCTTGTCTTGTGTGAACGCGCGGCTTATGAGTTTTCTCATTAGCTGCGTGTTCATGTCTTTTGTTCAAGCACATGGCTTGTGATTGTTTTGCTGGCCATGTGCTTTTGTTTTGTGTGAGCACATGGCTTTTGTCTTTGTTTCATGTGTGCTATGTGCTCTCATGTCAATTGTCTTGACCCCACCCATCTTGTTACCTGATTATTGGTTAATTTGCCCAACATGTGTTCCCTCGTTACCCTCCTCATTTGCTCTCTATTTATTGTCCTTGTGTTTGCAGTCCTGTGCCAGTTCGTCGTCGAATGTTCCCTGTCGTGTGCCTTGTCCTGCCATCCAGTTAAGTTGCCAGCTGTTTTTTCCCCTATGGAGTAGTTTTTGTTTGTTTTGTTTCTGCCTTTAATAAAGCCCTTATCTTCCTGCAATATGGAGTCATCGCTCCATCCTTCATCCCCAACCCTGACATTGAGATGTTTTCTCTGAATATTAAAGGGGTCATATGATGTTGCTAAAAAGAATGACATAGAAAATATATAAATATAAAAGATTTGAGAACATGTTCTGTGTGAATGGCCCCACCTATGAAAGACAGACTGACAAAACTGATCGCAAAATCGATTGCTTTGCACAAGCGTTTCCTTAAATCATTTTTCAGCACAATTAGCAAAATAAACATTTTAATAAATAAATATTTTACCTGAGTTCAGAATGTAGGTTTGCCACAAACACTGTATTCCAGGAAATGATGGCAAGAAACTTTTTATGGAGTTGTCATCGTGTGCTGCAGGTAAAAAAAAACAACAACATATAATGGAAACGGTTCATTCCAAAATCATGAACAAATTATTATTAAAGAGCGTTCTTAAAGCATATTTTCAGTGACTCAAAACAAGGAGTTTTAATCAGTGTAGTCTGACTCGGGAACAAATGACTCTTATGAGCTGGTTCTTTTAACCCTCTGGTATTGTTCATTTGGGAGTGACATTGTATTGTCTCGGAGTCAACTGACCAGAGGCCATAATGGTGTAAGAATAACATTTTTGTAAAATGAATACACTTTATTTCATTTCAATCATGTTTTTTTCTTTAACATTTTGAGTGTTATTAGAACCAGAATAAATAAAAAGAAATAATCACAGCCATTAATATAATTTATTTTCAGTTTACACACTCCCACTCTGGTTGGCAAAGGATATAAGTGCATTCATGATCATTAAAAAAGCAAAAGCACTTCCATTTTTCACTTGCTTCTTGTCCTCAAGCTCCAAAACAGAAGACTGTTTAAAATGAACTGACTGAACCAACTCTTAGATGTAGGTCATGTAGAGTTGTGAGGCCTGTTGACAAGATATGAAACTATAGGTGACTTCAACTCAGAGTATGGCAGTACAGTGGTCGTTTTAGCAAGTGACTGGGCTCTGATCTTCAGGCCTGACCTCCGTGCAGATGATGGATGGGTAAGAGCCAACACTGATAGCTGCATATCCATCAAACAAAGGCTCCCTTGATGAATGAATATGTCCTCTATCAAACGTGCATCACCTCATGAGCTGTCATTTGCAGTGAAATGCGTTCTTCCTTAGCATGAGATTAATGAACTCAGGAAATGATTTAGTCAGTAGCCCACAGAAGGTCAAAAGGAGGTGAGTGTAGGTAAGTTTGGGAGCTGAAAGCTAACCGTAACTTGATCAGGAAGAGCGATCATTGTCAGGGCAACTGCCACAGCGGCTGAGTGAGATTTTACATTCAGACACATTGCTTATGTTCTGAAGTCACTCAACTGAAAACAAAATGTAAAAAAATACTACTGGTGGTAAGTGGGGGAGGGAATGTGGGCTGTTGCTAGGCAGGTGTGTCATGCACCTATTTTTGTAGTTCACTAGCTGCAGTCTAGGCTCACTTCTTTGTCTCATTTAGCGTTAACAGATTATTTTACATCTGAATTTCACAGCCAGTTACCAATAAGAATTTCTATTTTATGCCATTGAAAATATTTAAAATAAAAATTCTGTCATTATTTACTTAAGTCATTATACACTACACTGTCTTTTTTTTTTTTTTGTAAAAAGTAAATAAAGATTATTAGAGTACATTTTACAAGAAAATACAGTTTCAGTCTTTACTTCAAAATGTCACTTTTAATTCAATGTGGTACCTTTTTTGGTTTGTTTTGACACCAAATGTTTGTCTGTTTGTTTTTTCAATGTACTATTTAAAAGTTTGGGGTCATTAAGATTTTTAATGTCTGCTTTTATTTGATCAAAAAGTAAAAACAGTAATATTGTTCAAATTTGTTTATTTATTCCTGTGATGTCAAAGCTGAATTTTCAGCAGCCATCTCTAATGTCACATGATCCTTCAGAAATCATTCTAATATGCTGATTTGGTCCTCAAGAAACATTTTTTTAAAACTGTATCTTACCAACCCCAATCTTTTGCTTAACATTTTCACATCAGTTTCTGCTTTGTGGGGAAGTCGTGGCCTAATGGTTAGAGAGGTTAGAGAGGTTCAAGTCTCTGGTCCGGCAGGAATTGTAGGTGGGGGGAGTGAATAACCAGTGCTCTCTCCCAACTTCAATACCACAACTGAGGTCCCCTTGAACCCCCACTGCTCTGTGTGTGTGTTCACTGCTGTATGTGTGCACTTAGGATGGGTTGAATGCAGAGCACTAATTCCTAGTATGGGTAACCATACTTGGCCACGTGTCACTTCACTGCTCTGCCTTTAGAAGTCCTGATGGTTCCTTATAGGAATACATTTTAAAAAGTGAAGGATCTGAGGAATGCCTATACATTACAACCTAAAGTACACAGAATCTAAAGTCCTGTCATTTAGTCAAAGGTCCTACCTCTCAAGACCAGGCAAAGAGAGACTTTGGCATTTTGATAAAAACCTCTTTGAGCACAGAAGAGAAGTCTTGAGGATGGCCAGACGATGACAGAATTTTCACTTTAAAGCAAATGATCTACAGAAGGTGCAACTCGACTGGACTCACACCTTCCTTTCTCAGTGTGAATGGACAGGATGCCACTGTTGCTAGGATACAGACCTGGACAGTATATTAAGGTATATAAAAAAATAAAAAATAAAACGTCAGCAATGCTGTTTATTTGTTATGCATTTGAAACATCAAGGGGTCTGGGAAGAGGAAATTATGAGCTACTAGAGATTAAAGGCTAGAGGTTTCAGGAACACAATCATTATGTCTGAACTGTGATCGGATTGGGATAGATGTTTAGAGGTGACAGGAAACAAATAGATTTTTGCTTCAAGGAGGAGAATAAAGTCTCCCTGAGTAGGGAACGAGACACTGCGTCCTCTAGGTTTCTTGCCATGCTGCGGACGCAAGCTTCAGACGAAGAAGTGAATGATGTGTAGCTCCCGGCACCGATTTATACTGTAGTCGCACCGGTAGTGACGTCATGGCTGTCGCCGGCCAACGAGTTGGTGTTTTTTCAATGTATGCTTCAGATACGAGTCACGACGAGGCGTTCCCCATAGCGACCCCTAGAGGACGCAGTGTCTCGTTCCCTACTCAGGGAACCATGGTTACATAAGTAACCCGAGACGCTATCTCTGTGTATATGGCGTAATTCAATAGTTCCTAAGATTCTTCCATTTAAACCTTGTGTCTGTTGCATTATGTGCACCTGTAGAAATAAAACTGAGGATGCTTATTTCTTTGATTTTATACTAAGAAATACATTTCCTCTGAGACTCTATCAGATACAGCTTTCATATTACCAGTTACAGGTTTCTGTTTATAGCCCTTGGGGAGACTGCCTGGGGACCCAGCAGTTTCTCTCCAGCCGTGTCTGGCAATACTAATGTCCGTTTTTTCTTTCATGAAAACAATCCTGGAATGAAAATGGTCTGTCTGCGGAACCTCTCTCTTTTACCTTTGTGTATAGCCTTCTTATTCCTACACACACAGGGTGGAGTGGGAAAATAAGAGGTTGATTTCAGCTCAAGGTGGCAAACAGAATCAAAGGCCTTTGTGGTGTAGTGGCCAAAAGCTCAGGGCTGGTAACTGGGCATTTACTGGTTCGAGCCCTGAACTGAATAAGCAATGAACTTGTGCCCTTGAGCAAGCTTCTCCAGGTATCGTCTTCTGCTCGCTTTTGCCATAATTCCGAATTTCTAGTATTTTAAAAGAATAGTTCACCCCAAAATTTAAATTTGCTGAAAATGTATACTCGCCTTCAGGCCATCCAAGATGTAGATGAGTTTGTTTCTAAATCGGAACAGATTTGGAGAAATGTAACATTATATGACTTGCTCAGCAATCCTTTGCAGTGAATGGGTGCCGTCAGAATGAGAGTCCAAACAACAGCTGATAAAAACATCACAATAATCCACCAGTAATCTACATGATAAACATCTCAATTAACACCTTGTGAGGTGAAAAGAAATTTCCGTATTTCATAATAACACTTCCTCCAGTGAAATAGACAATTCCCTGTTGTCCTCTAATATCAAAATCCACAGATATATTTGTTTAGAACGGTTTTGCACTGTTTTCGCTTATAAACGGTGCTTGATCTGTGCATATTTCTCTCCTGATTCAGAAAACTTCTTCACTGGGAAAAGTAAAATAATGGATAGAGGACTTTTTTTGGAAGGTTTGAAGTTAAAAACATCTGAATGGATTTATTACTGTCATGCAGCTTTTCACTTCACAATACGTTAACTAATAGACTGGAGCTGTGTGGATTATTGTGTTGTTTTTATCAGCTGTTTGGACTCTCATTCTGATGGCACCCATTCACTGCAGATCCATTGGTGAGCAAGTGATACTAAATTTCCCCAAATTTGTTCGGATGAAGAAACAGTCACATTTTTATTTTTGGGTAAAATATTCCTCAAATCAAATCTTTAATTCTCAAAATAAAGGACAAGCACCTCAAGAATAAAGAGCCAACAACCGTGCAGTCATATGCTGATGCTATTGAATTACTTTCTTATAGGCAACCACAGATATTATGTACACATATCAATATTGTGGAGAAATAAACTTTACATTCTGAATAAAGCATTTACAGGACACATACACACTCAAAATATTCACTGGCTTTTTTTTCCTTTTTTTTCTCCTTTCTCTTTTTCTGTAGGTCCAAATCCAGGGAATACAGAAGCAAATCTGTTGTGTGTTTCATATTCAGCCTCAGATGACACACAGAATCTAAAGTCCTGATCTGACAAATAAAAAAGTGCACAATACACACTCTTCAATATATACTGCTCAAAAACTCAGATCTGCGGGCACAAAATAGCCAATGTAAACATGTATGCTCTGAGAGATGTGCTCACACACAGTAGACAAAGGGTGAGCTACTCTGATGCAGAAAAGTGCTTTTCTTGTCATACTGTTTGCCACAGCAATGGCTTCAAGAGGGATTTCAAAGAATTAGGCAACACAGAGCTGTCAACAAAAGAGTACAAAAGAGGGACTATGAAGACAGAATAAAGAGAGTTGAGCTCTGCATGTCAACATACAGAAAAGAGGAACTGGGTTATATTTGCAAGAGAAAGATTACTGACTTACTGGATGCAAATAAGTTACTGGTGTCCATTTATTTTGGGTTTGAAAAAGACTTATTCATAACCAAAGGGGCAGCGTTTGGCTGGTTAGTGTGACCCATTTAATCCCTTATGGTAGATGCTGTAACTACACCATCTGGAAGGGAGAGGGGGTGGGGGGGGTGGATCATATTATTGTTGATCAGGGGTCCCTATTTTCTTTATTTCTTTCATTACAATTGTACTTTAAAATAAAAATGAATACTTGATAATTATAATAAAACTGCACTGTGTGATTCATTCCTAAATACATGGCGCAGCAGACTACAGTTTGACAATTTAATTAAATTGCAGAATTTGATTTGATAATCATGCAAGATATATCGCAAGTATTGTGCAGCCCAATTTATTTATTTTCATTTTACATTCAATGGAATTATTTGCATTTCATCAACTCACAAACACAGTTGACTATGTATGTCAACTGTAAGACAAGTATGTCTTCAAACAAGCTTATATTTGTCCTTATGCACATTCTTGTGGTGCCATCAACCAGTCAGCATTGTCAAACCATTTACAGCTCAAGTGACTGGCTTAAAATAGGTTGACACTGTCAAAAAAAAAAAAACATTCGTGCAGGTCCTACACCAACCAATCAACTGCTATTTGGATGGATGAGAATACTAACAAACAGCTTTCTCCAGGTATTATAGACCCCCTTGACCCACACCAACTGAATATCCAATGTTTCATCTGAGCTTTGAAAGAGGAAGTAAAATAAAGTAAAATCTCTTTTTTTAGATTTTCAGTGATTACCCAGGGGCAAAATACAAGGTCAGAGAGGTCTATGAGTACTCAGAGACAGAATGACTACATAGTCAAGTATATAGAACAGTTTGGTGCATGACTGTGTTTTACCATCCTCTGTGTAATTGAGTGTCAACAGTTTTATGCATGATGTTTATTTCTTTAAGCATCAAAATTGCATCGGAATGCCAACGATTTATTTACTCAACACAATGTTGCAATAACCAAGCCATTTAGACGTGAGAAGAACTATTTATCTCCTGGGGTCAAATGACTTCAACCAAAGCCAGAAAGCATGGCTGAAAAGACTTCATAAGTGCAGCAACATTGTACTCCATGCTCTTAGCAACTTCCTTCCTCTATAATTCAGCAGCCACCTCCACTTTTAGATCGCCTGATTGATTGTTTTTTTCTTTAAATGACCCTAACGGGTCAAGCAGTAATGGACTTGCCTCCTACACAGTGTTGGAGAGTAATCTCTGACTTACCTCACGTATGACCACCTGTCTGTTTTACTTCGCCAAGCGCTTCTGGTGTTTCATAATCTCATCTCTCATGGCGCCAGTTCCTCTCAAACATCAGGGGCAACTGGACCAACATTTAATTTTCAAGCCGCAAACCAAATCTGATGGGAAACACTGTGTTAATGCAGTCATTATTGGCACCATATGAGGCAAAGGCGACTTGGGAATTGACCGCCCTTAACTACATATTAGATTCCCTGCACTTACACAGACTTTTATCAATACCCTGTTTTCAAGAAGTCAATAACTCTTAATATTTCAGACAGAATCTTTGATACGCAGACTAAATCTTTGATATTTAAAAATAAGTACCGTTTTGTGTTCAGAAATCGCTCTAACCAGCAAAGGGTTATTGAGAACTTGAGACAAGCACTTTGAAAAGAAGAACAAAAGAAGATAATACCTAATTAACAAGATTATCTGCTTCAGGCTATTGACAGTTGTGCCTTTGGATGCTCAAGGTTCCTCATAAATATACATTTAAATGTGTGTGTCAAGATCAAGATGTGTCTTGTGACATTGGAGATGGTAAGATCATCAAGACGGTTCACAGCGCCCATTATATCTGTAGCAGGATTAGAAGAAACGGTTTAATTAGTATTTATGCATGCAAATAAATGCTTTGTTTATCAATCCCATAAAAAAAACTCAAGAGGGTAATACATGTATCCAGTGGACACTTCAAATAATTATTTTGCATTCAGATAGCCAGTTAAACCATTTGAAAAAACGTATAAGATAATAGAGTTTTAGTTGTTGTAGAACATAAAAAGGATAATAAGATATATGGGGAAAACTCCCAAAAGTATTGGCATGCCTAGATGCATTTAAACTGTTGTGTGGGAGTAGTGTTAATTATATAGGAAGTGTAATGGTCCAGGAATTGACTGGCCTGTTAGTTTCTCCAACAGAGCTGAGCTGACCAGAAACTGGAACAATAAAAAAAAACTCTAGGAAATTGGCAAATGAGACAAAGGGTTAGAAAAGAGTATCTAAATTTGCATTTAATAATTTAGCAAGGCTTTATTCTAAAGCAATGAGGATGATCATATTTGGGGGTCCGTGGCATCTAAGATATTAAAAGCCCCAAGCATAATGTATATGAAAGCCAACGAAACGTCTGGCATATTGAGTTGCATTAGAATTTGTGAGTTTAACTTTAATTAGACAGAAGGCATTGTTTTAAAGCAACAAACAGCATGTTTAAATAAAAGCTGTGAATGATGTTGGATTTATACACATAATACTGTAAGCCAATCAATAAAGAATGCAAGTAAAAAGAGGATTATATCAAAATAAGCTTATTTCCAAGCACTAGTTGAATGCTGAATATTTAAGCCTTGGCAGAATTAAATGAGATAGCTTTTGTTTGTTGATATCACGTATTACAACTTGCATTCATTTTCACTTTTTTGCGAGTTGGACCTTTAGTAATAGTGTATAGTTTCTGCACACCTTCATCGTGTTGTGAATTTTTAATGTGTATTAACTTTGTGTCGCTAAGGCCACACCAGAGGGATGTTTTCTTAAAAAGACTGATAATTTTTAGGTGATGATGGAATCCAGGCTATTTTAGTCTAAATAATTAAAAAAAATATGTGCCAAGTCTGTATAAGAAGTCTCCCGCTATGGTCTAATTACAGATTTCCGATGCTTTGTTTACTAGACTTTTGACATGGCTTTAAAAGTGTTCATTTTTAAAGCCAGGGAAAAAAATAAAAAAAAAAAAAAAAAGGTATAAAACTGTACCAGTCGCATCATCCAACCATAAACAATAACATTAAAGATTACTTTTCCTTTTTGGATTATTAATCATGCCGGAAGCAACACTGTCAAAACAGATATGGCTCATTCATGAGCATGTTTCTCAACAGGATGCGGTTCTGCCGCAAAGTCTGCCAACAAAGCTCAAAGAGAGTTCAGTGGTAATCATACTATCTGAAGAAAAATGTCAGGCCTGACATTATCTCAAGCATAACAGCCCAGAGACTCCCTGAATTAAACAGCATTTTAAAACCAAGACAAGCACTCGGGTCATGGCAGACATCCGGATGACCTTCAAAACCGGCAGAAGGAAATTAAGCCCACTGCTCGTCTCTGCCTGGACTACAGCCGCCACTGGAGCGCTTTGCCATGTTTGGGTTTGTGAACTGATTCATTATGCGAGATCTCAAAGGCCGATGCATGTAAATGAGGAGAATGAGCAGATATTATTGTGCTTCTCTTTTGTTGTTATGGAGGTAAAGCTTCTCGAACAGACTGGTGCTAAATGTTAGCTGTATATCATGCTGTGGAACCCTGTACAGAGCTCTCCAGTTTTAAAAAGATACATGGAAATACATTTGGAACAGGAGCTAATCATACAACAAGCAACTTGAACTGTGTAAACAACACACTCTCATCACTCAGTCTTTATCTGTGCATTCCAAAGCTTTTGTGCCAACTCATTTTGGAGGATTTGTTCACCTCCAAATTAAAATTATGCCAATATGTATCCACTCTTATATTGTTCAAAACACATGATTTTTAGTCTTCTCTGGAATATGAGAGTAGAATATGAGATTCTCTCTTATGCTCACCAAGCCTGCATTTATTTGATAAAAAAAATAGAGTAATATTGCAAAATAGTACTACAATTTAAAATACCTGTTTTCTATTTGAATATATTTTAAAATGAAATGTATTCCTGTGATGTAAAGCTGAATTTTCAGTGTCACATGATCCTTTAGAAATAATTGTATTATGCTGATTTGGTGCTCAATAAACATTTCTTATTATTATCAATGTTGATAACAGTTGCACTGCTCAGTATCTTTTTTCAGGATTCTTAGATTAATAGAAGTTCAGAATTAAGTTCATTAATTAAGTTCAAAAGAAAATAATTTATATGAAAAATAAGTCTTTTGTAAAATTACAATTCAATGCATTCATGCTGAATAAAATAATTCATTTCTTTCAAAAACAATCAATCAATTAAGCACTCTTACTGACTCCAAAAGTTTGAATGGTCATGTAAATTGTTCTTTTCTATACATAAAAATGACACCATTAATGGAATAAATAATTGGCCTTTTTTTTTGTTAAATTGTCATGACACTAAATGTACATGACTTTTCTGGTTTTTATATGCTCACATGCATGTACTGTAGCCTTATGTCATTGTGCCAACTACTGTGTAGTTTACTACAATAACATACAAAGTATGCAACTCACAAAGAATTGTAACTACAAAGGTGCCTAGTACATGCCTGAGAGGCTGGTACAGTATTGTTAGGGTTAGATGTAGGAGTCTAAAATAATTGCATTTGAAGCCACTTCCCTGCGTCATTCAAACACACGATAATATCCCAAAAAGACTGCAAAGGCATGGAGGCGAGAAGGTCACCAGAGCAACATTTTAGTGGTGCATGGATAACACTGAGATTTGCCTGGGAGCAAACCAAACAAAAAGCAACCAGTATTATTAACAACATAAAAGCAAAACATCCACTGATTTGGTGCACTCTGTGGGGCGTATCTAACAGTGTGGACACCTACCAACCTCGGAAAAGGAAACACCACCCTCAGACTGATAAAGACAGTCAGAATAAAGTCTGCTGCTGAGATCAAAGTGCCAAAGTAAGCACTCAACCCTAAAATAAGCAGTAAACATTGAGAGAAACTCTCTAGGAGAGACAGCCAGAGAGATTTAACCAATTCATTAAATCGACTGGACAAATCACAAAATGATTTGCATTTAACAGACACTGAAAAAAATGCAAATGCAAGGAGTTCAAACTTTTCTCTGACAGGAATGTGAACATGAATCTTAATTCTCCATCAATTGCTGGGCAAACAGTGTCCTTAAACGCATCTTAGATGTGTATACTTATCATTCACTACCATTCAGTCAGCATAACGTTACCCCATGTGTTGTCAAAAAGGATTGCGTGAAAAACTATTGTGAAAAAGGGTCAAATTTTACAGCTAAAGATTAATCCTGAACAAATTGTGACTAAGAATCGGAAATTACCTTTCATTTTTGATGCATATAAGAGGCTTAATCTGTGCCCAGGAAATTTGTTCCCTGGTTGCTGCAATAAATGGAGAGGGACAACATTCACAAAACAAGTCAATTCAAAACAAAGAGGCAAAGTGCCAAAATGTTTTTGCAATGCTAATACCAAGAACATGGCGTTCAAACCACGGACAATAATCACAATTATCCACTTACAAATCCACTTGTGGCAATCCGCAAGACACATAATAGGAGAATTACAGCCGTTGAAACGAAGCTCACATGCATAACACTTAGTTTAGACAATGATTTAAATTCATATTAACTTAAAACATGACAAGAAAGGTTTGATTTAGTCCTACAGCGAATGTCAAAAACTCTCCCTATACTTAGCATGCTTTCATTAGACCATTTACTTCAAATTACAAACGTGATAGCTTTTCGTTTCTCTTAATTGAAATGAAAATAGACCATTCTAAACCCAAAGACAAACAGGGAAAGAGTGCAATTACAATTCTAACACTACCTTTTACAAGATATTAGTAAGAAAAAGTTAAGCGTAGAAAAATAAAAGATTTTGAAAAGACACTCATGGAGAATATGTAGAAAATAGTATTTATATTTGATATTATATTGTATTCTTTAAAAAAAAAAAGTGTAAGGGATGAAAGCGATGCAAAACTCATTTCAAATCAGCTTCACAGATGAGACAAAATTAGTTTTATCCTTATGCCCATTAGAAAGCAACCTAAATCTAAGACTTATGAGATTTCAGGTGATCGTATACAGAATCGAACCGTTTTTATTTCTGGAGTGCGGAGACAGATCTATTTAAACATCTAAGGAAATGCACATAAAAAGGTCTACAGACAGATGAATGAACCAAACAGCCTTTTATTTAATAAGGTTTGTTCTTTTTTTTCCTGCAACCTTTGCATTTGCTAAGGACTTGAACGAGAATCGATGATTTGATTAAGTTACTTTTAAAAACAAAAAGCATAATGCATAAGCAAGAGCTGGCAGAGGAGAATCACAGCTTGTCTCAGTTTATTCAAAATATGCTGATCATTGTACAGAAGTAATTCAACTGAAGACTGAGCCTATAAACAAAATTGGCATAAAATATCAGAATTAAAAGATTAAATGAGAATATGAAATGTATTAAAACAATTATACTTCATATTGAAGCAATTAATCTAAAGTTGTTTATGAAAATTATTTAGTGATTAGGTAAATGAGTTGAACACATCTGTATGTGAAATGCAAAACGGTGAAATTTTAGGATATTATTAAAGTGGAACAGAAGTACATATGCTTGGGTCATGTAAACAAAGTAGCAATTCATAGATTCACTTGAGTATTTTCTCTTTTTTGAAGAGAAATCTAAAGTTAAATGCTGTGATTCATCACCGTATGCCCATTAGAAAGCAACCTAAATCTAAGACTTATGAGATTTCAGGTGATCGTATACAGAATCGAACCGTTTTTATTTCTGGAGTGCGGAGACAGATCTATTTAAACATCTAAG